AGGCGGGGGGGGGGGCTGTTGTCTCTCGTTGCCCGTGCACGTGAGTGTGTGTGGTGGGCGGCGGCCACAGTGTCGTGGGAAGGATGGGTGTGCAACCTGGTGGTGGAGCTGCCTGGCAGCAAGCCGTTTCCAGTTGGCCTGCGTCCACGGGTCCCCCTTGCTTGCTGGCCTGCTGAGCTCACGCTGCGCCGAGTGGCTGCAGGAGATTGCGGGGCACGAGGAGATGGTTGGGCAGTACGAGTCGTACAAGAGCTTCACCATGCCGCATCTGTACCGCGTGGTGGAGGTGGGGCTGCCGCCGCCGAGGCACCCGCGGCACACAGTCGGTGGCGCCTCGCCGCCCAGCAGCAGCTGCACGTTACATGTGTGGCAGCCTGCCCTCTCCCGTGCCTGGTCGGCTTCCCCACCATGCCCCATGCTCCCCACCCTCCCTGCCCCCATGCCATGCCGCCCCCCGTCTGCGCCGCCCCTGCCATGCGAGCAGGGCATCGACATCTTCTCCCCCAAGTTCAACATCGTGTCCCCGGGGGCCGACCTGGACATCTACTTCCCGCACAAGGAGGCAAGTGGGCGGCGGCGGTGGTGGCGGTGGTGGTGGTGGTGGTGGTGGTGGTGGTGGTGGCGGTGGTGGTGGTGGTGGATGTGTGTGCTCACTCGCTTGCGGGATGCAGGATGGGGAGCAAGTGATTGAGAGGCGCGCCGCCCAGGCGCCGCCGGTGGTGTTCGCGCGCCAACCTGCCCGCACGCCTGCCTCCCCCTGCCGGCCCGCAGAAGGAGCGGCGGCTGACCGGGCTGCACAAGGACATTGAGGAGCTGCTGTTCGACCCCGACTTCAAGGGGGCAGTGGGTGCGTGGCGCCGGCGCTGCGCTCGGCAGCCGCCCGGCGCCCGCAGCCGCGGTTCGCGTTGCCGTTGCTGGCAGGCCACCTTGCACACCATGCTCCGCTCATGCCCAAGGGCTTCGTGTGGCCCCCACTCAAGCATGTAGGCAACCACCTGTTGCCCACCTGCCTGCCCCTTAATCCTCCCGCATGCAGGCCAGCTGGAGGACCGCTCCAAGCCCATCCTCTTCTCCATGGCCCGCCTGGACAAGGTGAAGAACCTGACGGGACTGGCGGAGTGGTACGCCCAGAACGAGCGCCTCAGGGGGCTGGTCAACCTGGTGATCGTGGGTGAGTATACATTGGGAGTGGAGGGTGCAGCAGGTGGCGCGCCTCCCTGCTGCTGGCGCCGAGCGTGTGCTGGCACGACAGCGTCAGTGCCCAAGCAGCGCAGACCGCGGTTGCTGGGTCCGCGTCCCTGCCCGCCTGGCCGCTTGAAATTGCCTGCCTGCTGCCCATGCTGCCACCCTTGTAACAAAATGCACCATCTCCCCGCAGGCGGCGTAATCGACCCCGACGCCACCATGGACCGCGAGGAGGCTGACGAGTGCCGCAAGATGCACGGCATTGTGGAGCAGTACAACATGAAGCCCTGCTTCCGCTGGATCGTGGCCCAGGCGCGCCCTCCTTGTCCGCCTGGTGCTCATGCCCCCTGCACCTGTTCGGAGGTTTCCACCTGCAGCCTGGCCCGTGGTTCAAACCGACCCGCTGCCTTCTGTGCCCCCTCTTTCCGCCCCTGCCCGCAGAAGAACCGTGTGCGCAACGGCGAGCTGTACCGATACATCGCCGACACAGGCGGCGCCTTTGCGCAGCCCGCGCTGTACGAGGGTGGGTGCGCGGGGAAGGAATGGCTGGGCGCTGTACGATGTCCCCGCTGTGAACTTGCCGCTAGGGACGTAGCTAGCTAGCTGTATGCTCCTGCAGCTGTGACCGCCCTCGCTGCCTGCCTCATGCCCCGCCACCCCTCTGCAGCCTTTGGCCTGACGGTGATTGAGGCCATGACCTGCGGCCTGCCCACCTTTGCCACCAACCACGGCGGGCCCTCGGAAATCATCAAGCACAAGAAGTCGGGTGGGCGGGCTGGGGAGGGGCAGCGAGAGGAACAGGAGGCACGGGGTTTTCCCTGCACCCGCACTTGCTGGCATCTCCCGAACGCGGGCCCCTGCCTGCAGCTGTGCCCCACCCCCCTGCCTGCTTCCCAAACCGCACCCTAACACCCACACACTTTCCACCCACCCACACACTTTCCACCCACCCCGCCAGGCTTCCACATCGACCCCTACCACGGCGCCGAGTCGGCCGAGCTGATGGCAGACTTCTTCGAGCGATGCGCCAGGGTAGGCAGCGCTTGCCAGGCTGGGCAGTTTGCCGCGGGCTGGCAGCCCTCACCGCTTGTTGGGGCAGGCTGGAGGGCCCTATGAGAGGTACTGCTCACCATCAATCAGCGCCACCACCACCACCTGCAGGAGTCTGGCTACTGGAACAAGATCAGCGAGGCCTCCATTGAGCGCATCTTCTCCAGGTGGGCGGGTGGCATGGGTCCGCGCATGGGTGCGGGCATGGGTGCAGGGTGGTTGGGTTGAAACGGTTGATGGCCCTTGGCCCTGCGCCGCCCAGCCCGCGCGCGTTGGGTGCCCCACATGTGACCCACCCTGCACACCCGCTGGCTGTGCCTGAGACTCCCCCACCTGGCTGCATGCGTGCAGGTACACGTGGAGCATCTACGCCAAGCGCCTGGTCACGCTGAGCCACATCTACACATTCTGGAAGCACGCGACCAGCCTGGAGTCGAGGGAGACGAAGAGATACCTGGGTGAGCCTGAGGCAGACGGGTGGATGCCTGGGCTCCGCCAGCGCCAGCCGACGCAGCAGCCGTCGCCCATGATGGAACAGCAGCGGGGCGGTTGTGGCGTCGATAGTCCCCGCGTGGCATGCCCCTGCTGCCGCCTGTCCTTGCCCCTGTCCTTGACCAAAGTGCCGCTGCGTGCTCCATCTGCCTGCCTGCAGAGATGTTCTACATCCTTGAGATGCGCCGCCTGGTGGCAAAGGTGGGTTGCAAACCTCCCACAGCTGCCCCTCTCCCGCCACTCTCCGCCCCCGGCCCCGCTGCCCCTGCCCACCCACCGCTGCCCGCCAAGCCCACCTGCCGCTGCATGTACATGCGCCGCCTACGGGGCTTGCCTGTGCAGATGGCTGAGGATGAATCTTACCAGAAGCAGCAGCAAGAGCAGCAGGGTTCGCATTCTGCTGTTCCATAGGTGCCAGCCAGTTCAGCCCGCCCACCCAGCTGCTCGCCCACCACACTCATCCCGCCGCCCCCAACCCCCACTCCCCAATCCGCCATCGCTCACCCAACCTAAGCGCGGCCACCAGTGCATCCCTGCTGGCAGCTCCCAGGCGGCTTCCCCTCAGCTCCTGTTGGCACCGCAGATGCCAGAGGTTGGCAAGGAGGAGATGGAGGAGCCGGAGGAAGCAGTTACGCCCAAGGTCGGCTTTGGCGCCATGTGAGGCAGCTCTGTGCGGTTCCCCCGATCGCCTCACACCCCCTGCGGTGCTGATGCCACCGGGCCAGCCACCAATTTTCAAGCCCCCAATCCAAATGCAATTTGCTTCTTTGCTGTGTTTGCCCTGCGCTCCCCATGCCCTTTTGCTTCTGGAATTCGCTGGCGTTCCCCCAGTTTACCGGACAGCCGCACCAGAATGCCCCTGTGACTGCGACCTGCTTGCGTTTGTGCCCGTTGGCCCTCGCCACCTGCTGCTCTGTACTCTGTATGCAACCCATCAATTACGAAGCAGCACATGTTGTAAAGCATCTGTGTCTGCAGGCGGCAGGTCAATGCCACCAATATCAAGGAAAACGGGTGTATGCACGGCGAGCCTGCGTGTGGCTGCCATGCAAGTGCATTGGGCTCTAGTCACTGGTGTGTGTGTGGGCAGGCACGTTGTAGGCAGAACGAAGCGTAAGGGCAGGTAGCACGAAAAACGAGTATCAAGTGCATGCAGCAATGTTGGTGGCGTGCCTGCTGGCTGTGCTGAGCTGCATGTGGCGGCCGCCACCCCAGCCCGCCTTCCCCTTCCACAGGCAGCCGCCTGTGGGCGAGCCCCAGCTCAGAGCATGCCCAGCCCAGGGCGCGGCGCGGCTGCTGCGCCCACGAGCCGACCGCTCAGAGCATGACGCGGCTGCCCGCCACGCGCCCCAGGAACTTGGAGTCCAGCCCGCTGTCGCGCTGCATGCACACGCGCCCCGTGCGCGCCACCTCCAGGATGCCTGCGGCGGCGGCGGCGGCGGCACGCGGCGGCAGACGGGGGCTCAGCGTGCGCAGGGGAGGCAGGGGTGGCACAGCGCATGGGACACAGGGCCACGCTGCCACCATCCTGCACCCTCCCAAGAGCTCACCGCCCTACCCAGCACCCCCCAGCGCACCTCCCACCCACCCAAGCAGCTCACCGTGCGGCTCCAGCACCTCCTTGAGCGCCACCATCTTCTCCTCCCTGCCCGTCACCTCCAGGGTCAGCGTGTTGACGCTCACGTCGCACACCTGGGCCCGGAAGATCTGCAGGGCACGGGAGGGGAAGGGAGGGGAGGGGAGGGGAGGGAGGCCAGGAGTTGACAGATGCACCCGGGGCGCGCAGAGGACACAGGCAGAATGGTGTGCAGCTGAGCAGTGTGTGCAGCAGCACAAGGCCATCTGCAGAGCGCAGCAGTGTGTGCAGCAGCACAGGGCCATCTGCAGAGCTCCAGTCTAGACACCTCTGCTGTTCTCACCCACCAGCCACTGCCCCCAGGCGCCATGCCAACCGCCCCGCTCACCGATGCCAGGCTGACCAGCTCCCCGCGCTGCGACGCCGAGCAGGCCACCTTGACGAGCATGAGCTCCCGCGACACGTGCGGCACCAGCGTCAGCTCCTCCACATTCTCCACATACACCAGCTTGTTGAGCTGCTTGATGAGGTTGGCGATGCTGCTGGTGCTGGCGGGGACCACCTGTGGGGTGGCCGGAGCCAGTGGAGGAGAGAAGGGGGCGATTCAGTGCCGGCAAGGGGCGGGAGCTGGTGGCAGCAGGCCTGCCGCCGGTGGAGGCAAACCGGCCCATCATGCGCTGCATAGCTTGCATGGCGATGCAGCCCTCCTGCCCTCCCCCTCCCACCCACGGGCGCACTATGGTGATTCGGCTCATGCCCTCCCGCTCGCTGTTGCCCACGGCCAGGCTCTGCACGTTGTAGCCGCGCCGCGCAAACACCCCCGTCACCTGCACAACCAGGCCGGCAGGGCGCGGCAGCATGTCGACGCATCCGCGGTGAAGATCACAGCAATGTCGCCACATCAGCGCTCACCACACCGCCTCCAGGCGACGGCCGGCACCATTACCTGCCACCGCCCTTCCCAACCCACCTGGTTGAGCACGCCCGGCACATCCTGCACCTCAATGGCCAGCACATCTGGCTCCTTGGCCACCGCCGCCACGGTGTCGTATGCTGCGGCAGGCAGGGCGGAGGTAGTGTGCTGTTGGGTGGCCCGTATGGGTGGCCGGCTGGACAGGCGGAGGCAGCAAAGGGCGAGACGGGCAGCGGGCGAAAGGGCAGCCATGTGCAGGCCAGGGGTGCCGCCGCTCCAGGAGGCATCAGGCATGCCTCGCTTGGGGCACCCAGGAGCCCCCACCTGCATCCAGCACGTTTGAGGCGTAGACGTCGCCATCCCCCGGCTGCGCCGTGGGCTGCTGCACCGACGGGTGCGCCCGCGGGGTGCTGGAGCTGCGGGCAGGCGGCGCGGGCGCGCGGCAGCAGGCAGGGGCTGATCGCCCTGCCTGGCTGTGTTTTCCAAAGAGCACGCCCTGCCTGGCTGTGTTTTCCAAAGAGCACTACACTAAGCTCCTGCTACAGCACACGCGTAGGGCCAAGGCCTTCCCAGGCCAGCCCTCCAGCCGGCCTGCCAACACCTCCCCCACTTCCGCCGGCCCTCACCGCTGGCTCCAGGCCCCCGTGTCAAACATGCGGTCTCCGCGCTTGAGGCTGATGCGCCCCGTGCGCACCAGCTCCACCACCCCAAACTTGGCCAGCACGCGGCGGAAGGCCTCCATCTGCGCAGCGGCAGGACGGGCAATCGGGCAGGCACGGGCGGTGGGAGAGGGGCTGCCGCTCCGGCACATGCCTCGCCCGTTGCGCCACGCGGCTGGCTGGCAGCTGGGACCGGCACGCCCCGATGCCAAGCCAGCCCCAGGCCCCCCCGGTGCCCATCCCCGCCCCACTGCCGCACCTTGCCCACGTCGCCCGTGACCTGCAGCGTCATGGTGCGGTCGGAGCAGTCCACGGCGTGGGCGCGGAAGATGTCGGCGATCTGGGTGACCTCGGTGCGGGTTGGGCCAGGGGGCGCGTGCACCTGCGGGGCGGCGCATGGGCATGGGGCATGGGCGGGGGTGCGAAGGGGGCAGGGCGGGGCGGGCCGGGGCGGGGCAAGCCAGGGCAGAGCGTCCGGGAAGAGAGGCAGGCCTGGGCCTCCTGCGTGTCGCTGCCGCTGCCGCTGCCGCCTTCGCGCCAACAAGGTGCTGCCCGCCACTCGCCACCCCATCCCACCACACCCATACACGATGCACCAGCCCTCCCCCGCCACCGCCTGCCGTCCCAACCTTGATCAGCATGAGCTCGCGCTCCACGTGGCTCTCATCGGTGATGTCCTCCACGTACCGCACATTCACCAGCTTGGCAATTTGCTTGGCCAGGTTGGCCACCGTGGCATCGGTGCCGGTAGCCACAATGGTGAACAGGGCCTGCATGGGGCGGGTACTGTGTGTGTGTGTGTGTGTGTGGTGGGGGAAGCGTGAGCGAGACACAGCAGGCGGAGCTGCGGCCCTGCATGTGCAGCATGGCCAGATGAATGTGCAGATGCACATCCATGTCGCCCGGCCCACGGCGCATGGCTGCACCCCCGCCGCCGCCGCCGCCGCCACCACACCCCACCTTGTCCACCGTCAGCCCCACAGCCAGCGACTCGATGTTGGCACCGCGCCGCGCAAACACGCCCGCCACGCGGTTGATCAGCCCCGACTCATCCGCCACAAACACGCTGAGCATGTGCTTGCGCACGCCCTCCTCCAGCGGCTGCGGCTCGTATGCATACACATCCGCAGACTGCTCCTGCGCCGCCGCCGCTGCTGCCACCTGCGGCCATGGGGAGGGGGAGAGGAGGGAGGACATGGGGGGGGCAGGCAGCCAGCGTGGCTCGGCGGTCGTGAAGCCGCCGGCCACGCCGCCACCAGCAGGGCCAACTGCCAGCGGCTGCTCCAGCACTCGCCAGCCCTTGCACGCAACGCGCAGAAACCAGAGAGGGCAGCAGCAGGCGCGAAGGCTCCGGGTTGGAGCGCCAAAACATCCCGGTCGCACATGCGACAGCAACCGCAGGCTGTGCGTCGCAGACCGACAGCATGCCCGCAGGAGTGGCTGATCGTCAGAGAAGGCTAAGGGCCGCCCAGCCAGCCACGTGCAGTCTGCATGCCTGACGCCCCTGCGACGCGGCGTGCGCACCTGGGGCCTGCTGTGCTCCCTCCTGGCGCTACACTGCTGCACGACAGCCTGATGCCGAGGCCTTCCGCTCAGGTGGAGGTGCGCCGCAGGAGAGCGCTGCGCATTGCAGGCTGTTTGCCGGCAGCCCTGGGCGGTGTGACCTGCAGATCGAGATCGGTCATTCAGCCTGATGCCTTAGTCCCGCCCTGCAGCGCCAAGCCCAGGTCTCCCCAACACCAACTCACTCAGAGCTGCCTGCATGTTGTTCTCCAAGCTGCGGCTCGACTGTGTAGGAAGTGGTGGAGTGTTGTGCGGCGAGGGGTGGGTCTGCAGCATATGTTTGGGCTCGGCGTCATCCGCTGACATGGCGCGCCCGCTGCTGCCACCTGTTGCCGCCCAGTATGCGCTCGCCAGCGAATGGCAGCCCATGAATGGGGTGCATGCATTTTGCAGGTGAAAAACACAATGAATGAATGGGGTTGTGCTTGTGCTTGTGGCTGGCCTGTGAGTCGCACTGACGCAGCAGACGAGGGACAACAGAGGGCGTGGGGGGAGGGGCTGTCATGGGTCAGTAGTTCTCAACCTGGGGAGCTGTGGGTTGGTTGAAAAATGGGGCTGAGGCTGGGTATCAAAGTGCTGTCGCCATCTTTGGCCGCAGCAGGTGGTCCAACAGGCGCGTGCGCCTCCCGGGGAGGGCACCGGGTTCGTCAAGAGGAGGAGGAGGAGCCGGACTTGGTCCGCAGGCGGCTGCTTTGCCTGACGGGGGCAGGCTGCTCTGCCGCCAGCGCCCTGGCCGTCTTGCGGGGCGAGCGGACAGGGCGGGAAGAAGTGGAAGGCCCAGGCTCCTCTGCCGTCTGCTCCTCGGCTGCGGCAGCTGCCTTCTTGGTCTGCCGGGCCCTGCCGCCGCGCCGCTTGGCCGCCACCTCTTCCTGCTGCTGCGGCTGCTCCACCACCTCTGCCACATCCTCGGTGACTGTCACCGCCGGGGTGGCTGGGCCAGCCTCGTCCGCCTTCTTTCCACGCCGCTCACGGGTGACCTTTGCCTTGGCGGCACCCGTCGGCGCTTTCTGGCTTGCGCTCAGGCGGCGAGCGCGGGGCTGGGCCTTTGGGCTGGAGGGGAACCAGGGGATGAAGCAGGAGGTGGCGGCCTGGTAGTCGGCATACCTGCAGCGGGGGGGAGAAAGGCCAGCAGGCACCGGCGTTGGAGCTATTGGGGTGGGCGGGAGTGGGGAACAAGGTGACCAGAGTCGCAGCATTCCGGGAGCCAGCAGCCGCCTCCCAGACCCAAGTCAGCAGGTGTTGCTGCTAATCAAGGTGCGGATACAGGCGGCAAGGGCGCAGATGGCGGGCATGCGGCCACGCACCTGGGGTACTTGGCCGCGGACAGCTTCTCGGTCAGCCAGGTGCTGCCCTGGAACAGCAGGATGAGCTGGATGGGGGCAGCAATGGTCCAGTTCAACCAACGGCCTGCAGGACGGCGAGAGCGGCTTGCTTCAGAGAAGGGGGCGGCAGCGGCGAATGCAGCGGGAAAATGGGGGCGCGTTCAGGCCAGGCCTCGAGGCCACAGGGTGGCCGGGCGGCGCCCCTCACCGCTTGCAGCCACGCCAAACAGGTACATGGAGCACCACAGCGACTGCTCAGCCCAGAAGTTGGGGTGGCGGCTGAGGCGGAAGAGGCCAGAAGTGAGGAAGCCCTTGGACTCCTCCGCCGTCAGCCGCTTGCCCGCCGCCAGCTTGGCATGCTTCGTGCTCTGCAGAACACCAGCGGGATGCAGCAGGCAGCGCCATTCTCCGCACGGTCCTGCCTAGCTCCTGCTCAACAAGCCATGCGCCCACCCGTGCCATCCAGCGAGGCAGCACTCGACAGCGGGTGCAGCGCAGGCACCTGGAAGCGCCACTGCTGCTGGTCGGCCACGCTCTCATAGGCGATGAAGAAAACGCACAGGGCGGCGGCCGCCGCGTCGATCGCGTTCAGCGGCGCGCCCACGTTCTGCCAGGCCAGATAGGCGGGCGCTACCAGCGACAGCAGCAGCAGGTTCTGGTAGAGGGCGATGAAGGTGAGGTTGAAGAGGAAGAACGCCAGGGCGTTGACCTTCTGGCGGATGAAGGGCCACCTGCACAGAGCTTTGCACACCTCTCACATGGCAGTTCCGCAGGTCTCCCAGCAGCGGGCCTGCTTGCATGTGGCGATGCTGATGCTTGCCTGTAGTCCTCCGCGCTCCAGCGGTACCCGCCCTTCCTGGCAAAGTTGAAGGTGAGGCGCGTGCCCCACACCGTGATCAGCGCTGCCATGATTGCCAGGCGGGGGTTGAGCGGCACGCTGGCGTGGGACAGCTTGTCGTGCAGGGCAAAGTGCCATATGTAGAAGATGGGTATGAGGGACCAGATCTTGTCCACCTGCAGGGGCAGAGGTGCTGAACCCCGGGTGAGCAGCTGCAGCCCGAGCAAGCGGCAGCGCGCACAAAAGCAGAGGTGCAGCGCCCCTGGTGGCAACTGCAATTTGATCAAAGGTCAGGGTCGCCCAGGCACACTTACAAAGCTGTGGTTATTGGTGGGCAGCGACAGCAGGAAGCACAGGGAGGCCACCAGCAGGGCGACGGCGACGGCGGACGCGAGCGGGTCGGCTGTCGCGTAGAAGCGCCGCGCCACCGACGGCCACGCGTCAGGGGCGCTGTACTTCAGGCTCTCCATCAGCCACTTCTGCCAGAAGAGCAGCGTGGACTGCACCCCCAGCCAGCCACCCCAGTCACCGGCTGCCAACATGGCGGTCTGCAGGCAGGGCGAAGCCAGCGATGAGCGGGCGGGAGGAGCGGCGGCAGGGGCGGCGGTGGGCTTCTCACACAACACCGTCTGGTTCTGCTGTCGCTGAGGCCAGTGCATGCACATGAGCGCCTGCAGGCTGCTGCTCAGGCAGGTTTGCAAGCTGCGACCCGACCAGCGACCTGCCCATCTCCCCACACGCGGCCTCATCCACACGGACGCCCGATCTGGCCAGCGCCAGCAGCAAGCGCTGATCTACACTCCACCTGCGTTGCGTTGCGCCCTGTGCGGTGGCACAATGCTCCGCAGCTGCTCACTGCCAGAATGGGAAGCCCAGTAGCCTTGCGCAAAGCGCTGCGAGCCAATCTGTGGCGCGGTGGCGCGGTTTTGTGTCTGTTTTAAAAGTTGCCAGCAAGGCGGGCGCCGCCCAAAAAGACAGCTGGTGTGCCACAGCCCTGAACAGCGAACAGCCGATGCCCATGGCGTGGCATGACTGTCAGATGATGCAGAGCTGTTTGATGCAGCATGGGATTCTGGTGGCATGACGGCCGACAAGCGCGGCAGGCCCAGCCCCAAGCGGCGGCGCCATTAGCCATCCCTCCCAACATCCACAAAAAAAGCGGCAGCCTCTGAGATGATGAGAGGGTGTGTATGCAAGCAGAATTACTGCGAGGATCTTGCATAACGAATCACGCGGCTGCGAACAAGTGAAGCATGACAGGGCAGCAACCAGGCAACGGGAGAACAGAGCAACATTTCAGAGCGAAGGACGAGCAGGCGTGCAAATCAGGATGAGCAGAGCAGGACGGGCAGAATGAGGCATCCAAAACTGTGTGGCGAGCGCACTGCGGCATGTGCCCCAAGGAGCTAGTAGTGGGCCAGAGTCCACTTCTCGCCCTGCAAGGCAATGCCCGAGGAGCAAGTGGATGGACGCTGCAGCTCACGACAGCGAGAAATCACAGCTGGCAGCACAAGCGCTGCTCACCCAGTGCCTCATGGGGCTCTCCGGATCCACCTCTGCCCCACTGGGCCGCAGCTTCGGATGGGCAGCGCCCTGCTGGGGGACTTTGTCGGAGCCGTGCTGCGCAGCAACGGCTGGAACAGCGGGGCTATGCTCGTGGAGGGCCTGCCGGGACGTGAGGCAGCAGGTGCTGGCGGCAGGTGAGGGGGGAGGCATGCTTGGATTGAGGAGGGTGAAGGCACCCCAAACCCTTACCTGGTCGCCCTGGGCGCCATGCACCTGCTCCTGCTTGCCCGACATTGCTGCAGGGTCTCTGCAGAAAGCCGGCTGCGGGGGCGGGATGGCGGGTTGAGTGAGTGGGCGCCGCGGAAACATGAGGCCGCCATCTGTTCCGTGGCGCCCATCACTGCACTCCCCGCCATGCAACATGCACCCCTCGTTCGCTGTTTTCGCCTTGCAGCCTGCCTGGAGGGTGTCTCACCTGAGGAGGGCTCTGTGCGAGGCTAGCTACTGCGCTGGAGTGTTATCAACTTGGGGTATGTGTAGTTTGATTGTTGATAAATGTCGGGGCGGGTTCCACTGGGTCTTTCGGCCGTGATTCTTCCCGCTGCTGCGTGCTGCGCTCCGGCTTGGCGGGACGACATGGTCTGGTTGCTGAGGGTCCGCCGCTTCAGAGTGTCCTGGGTAGGTGTTTTGATTCAAGCCGTGGCGGAGTCTCAAGTGGTGGAGGGGAGGTTGTGGGGTTCCACCGGATCGGCCCTCGCGCCGGGCTCTCCTCGCCGATTCCAGCCCTGCACCGTGTCCAACATCTGCAGGGACCATGTCAACGGCAGGTGAGCCGCAAGGGGCGGCCCAACTCCCCCGGGTGGGTCCGCATGGCATGGGGATCGAGATGGGATGCCGCCGCTCAGATGGCAGGCCCGGGTACCCACGCACTCCTCCACCTGGATCCGCTGCCGCCCTTGCCCGACCGCCCATGCCGTGTAACCCCGCCCGCAGCCCTCACGGCGGCGCCGCTGACGCTCCCGCTCGGGATGGCGACAGGCGGGCTGCCTCCTGTGGCCGCCGACTTCAGCATCCGGCAGTCGCCCTTTAGCGCAGACGACGCCCTGGCGCTGCAGCAGGCCATCGCGGCCGCCATGCAGCCCGTGGCGCAGCCGCCGTCGCCCGTGCAGCATGGCGGCCCGCCCGCCAAACGCGTGCGCTCGGCCGAGCCGTCTCCCCGGGCGGCGGCGGGCGCGCAGCAGCAGCAGTTTGGTGGCAAGCACCGCCCGCCCCGGCCCCCCGTCCTCGTCGACAGCGGGTCCCTGGTGCTGGATGTGCCGCGCGAGGGCAGCGGGTCGCCCGCCGGCACGGGGCGCTCGCCCCGCGGCGGCGGCGGCGCCGCCTCCCCGGGCATCCGCCGCCCCACCAAGCAGATGTCCAAGACGCTGGGGCGGGTGTGCATCGAGTGCGGCACCTCCTCCACCACCCAGGTGGGCCTTGCGGGGGGGCTGGGGGGTCCCACCTGGCCCCGCCTTTGTTGGCCGCGATGCCTGTGGGCTGTGTGCTTCCACGTGCCCACCAGCCAGCCCTCTGCCTTCCTTCCGCCTCACTGGGCGACCCGCGGCATGCTCACCACCCCTCCTCCCTGCCCCTCCCGCCCCCTGCAGTGGCGCTCCCAGGGCCTGCTGTGCAACTCGTGCGGCGTGAAGCTGATCAAGGGGCGGCTGCCCATGGACGCAGACGCCATGCACCGCCGCTGGCTGCGCCTGCCGCCCACCCTGCGCGACCACCCCATGTGGGCGGCGGCAAAGGTGGTGGCGGCGGCGCAGGGCGCGGCGGCGGCCGCCGCCGCCGCCGGCCAGCCCTGGTCCTGCCCCGGGTGCGGGCGGCAGGGCGGGGAGCGCGTGGCGGGGCCCTGCGGCCTGCAGCACTGCCCGGGCTGCGCGGGGCGGCACCAGCTGGCGGCGCCCCCCAGCGGCGCGGCGGCGGTGGCGGCCGCGGTGGCGGCGCCCTGCCTCAGCCCCGCCGCCGCCGCCCCCGGCACCGGCGGCCACAAGCGGCGCAAGCAGTCCACGCCTCGCTCCACCGCCGCCGACTCGCTCTCCCCCGCCTCCCTCAGCAGCAGCGGCAGCAGCAGCATCCAGGCCTACAGCTGGCAGAGCACGCGCGAGGAGGGGCAAGGTGGGTGGGCGGGCTGCGGCGGGGCGCTTGGGGCATCGGGTGGAGGGTGCATGCCTGCCGCAGAGAGCGCAGGGCAGGCCTCCCTCCTGCCTCCTGCCTGCGTGCTGCCCTGCCACTGGCCGTGTACTGCTGCCTTGCTGCTCACCAGCTGCCGCTCCCTGTCCCCACCCCATCCCGTCTGCTGCAGATGATGCCAGCTCCAAGGAACCCAGCCCGCCAGGCCGCCCCACGTCGCGGCGCCTGCACCTGCGCCGCAAGCAGCAGCAGGAGGAGCAGGCGCACGCCCACCACGCCGGCGGCCGCCCCGCAGCGGCGGCCCCCGCCACCCCGGCCTCCGGCAGGACGCCGCCGGCGGCTGCGGCGGCTGCGGCGGCTGCGGCGGCGGCTCGGCTGCCCGCCGAGACGCCCACCGCCGCCGAGGCGGCGGCGGCGCTGCTGGTGCTGACAGAGTCGGATGAGGTGCGAGTGGCGGCGGCGTTCCAGCTG